TTTTTTTTTTGGACGGATGGAGTACTTTGATGTAAACTCTAGCTGCTGCGGCCAGCTCAATTCAACATCTTTTGAGATTGAGATAGTACACATCTCATCGTGTTAGACTCTATTTAGATGGGACTAAAACTTTTAAGTCCCTATCACATCGAATGTTTGGACACTAATTATATATATTAAACGTAGAATATTAATAAAACCCATCCATAATCTTGGACTAATTCGCGAGACGAATCTATTGAGTCTAATTAATCCATGATTAGCCTATATGATGCTACAGTAAACATTATCTAATTAAGATTAATTAGACTTAAAAAATTTAACTTGTAAATTAGCTTTCATTTATGTAATTAGTTTTGTAAGTAGTTTATATTTAATACTCTAAATTAGTATCTAAATATAGGGACTAAAGTTAAGTCCCTGATCCAAACACCACCTTAATAATTAGCAAGTGACATGGGTTTGTGACAACTGAATCGACTCGGACGTGTGTGACTGCTTCTCCTATTCATTTCGAGAGAGAAGAGACGAGAGTGCAATTCGGATCATCTGCTGTGGAGGAGAAAATTCAGAGGTAGCTACAGTGCCCAGCTTTAGATGTACTGTGAAGCGTCCGATAGAAGATGGACGGATCAGATGAGATGCTACAGTAAATCTGCTACACCACTAACCAGCGGTGCTACAGTACATTCATCCCTGTAGCTACAGTAATCGCGACTGTGCTGTGCATTAGAATACTGTTTCCCCTCACATATTACTGTGGCTACAGTGACCCTCTGCGTAATGCAGAGGATCCGAATCCACGAGAGTGGCTGATTATTTGTAAAGAGAGGCGCGGAGACATCCTTAATTTAATTTTGTATCCTATTTTTGCCAGATATACTCCATATCTTTCCTAAGGTGTGTTCAAGAGAAAACAAAAATAGATATTAATTAAGAAGATACATAAAATGAGATAAATAATTATCATATGATTAATTAAACACTAAATTAATACGATTTTAAAAGCAACTTTTTTATATATGTTTTTTTTAAAAAAACGTATCGTTTAATAGTTCGGAAAGCATATGCGTGAAAAACAAAAAAAAAACCTTTTCTTCCCATTGTGCTTGAATCAAGTGTAACCTAAGGCTCTACACTACCTCTAACAAATTAATCTCAATAATTTTATTTTACCTGGTTAATCCACTTTTCTTTCTATCATTTTTCTTAAAGTTTGCATCAAGATTATCCCTTACATGACGGGTGATTCTTTCCTTTTCTTTTCTTCTCTCTTCCACTTCATTGTATAAGCTTAGTGTATAGGAACTTATGGTAGTTGCACTGATGATCATCATGCATCCACCAAATGAGATTTGGTCCAAATCTAGTGCAGGTGCAACTGCAGAAGAATCAATATATGCTATACACTTGCAACGACGTGTACAGTGTACTACGTACTCTTCCGATCTAAGGCTGTCAAAAAAGCTCAAGACTCACGAGCAGCTCGAGCTCGGCTCATCTCAGACTCGATTTGAGCTCGGCTCAATCTCTTAATAAGCCGAACCCGAGCCTAGCTACAAGCTCGCGAGCTTTGTCGAGTCGAGCTCAAACTTCTCACGAGCCTAACGAGGTGTGCAACTTTTTCCTTTTATATATGATAAGTGCTACTCCCCCTGGGCTGATAATATTTGTCGTTTTAAAGAAGTGTGAGGTCAAACTTTAGAATCTTTGATTATAAATCATTTTTAAAATATTTATCTTTCAAATATGGTGACTACATATATAGATTAGTCTTAAAAAGTACTTTAATAAAATCATATATCTGTTAATACTTTTATACATATTATAATAAAAAATAATGGTCAAAATTGTTTTTTGGAAACCGTGCCCTTGTCCAAAACGATAAGTATTATCAACCCGGAGGAAGTATCTCAATAATTCTATTTATATGAAAAATTAGTGTATTGTGGCATCATATATTAATATTAACTTCTCATAATCTTTTTCTTCAATATTGTTAATTAAAATTATTGTTTTTTTACAAAATTTTATCATCAAAATATACACTATCCTATACTCGATCGAGCTTCTCGAGCCGAGCCTGTTTAAAACCTCGAAGGATGACTAGGCTCGATTCAAGCTCGGCTCGAGCTTGTGTCGAGCTTAAGCCTAGGCAGGCAAGATTGGCTCGTTGACAGCCCTACTCCGATCCTAAGGGTACCTACTCCGATCCTAACGTACCCTAGCTACAGCCATTAATTGAATTAAATGTTTCTCAACGGCTGCACAGTCATCAAGGTCTCCATGCTGATCTCGATCCCATGTCGATGCCAGTATATATATAGTTCTTTTTTTATTTTCGGGGAGTATATATATATATAGTATGCGAGTATTGATTATTTGCGTGTATATGCACGGCTTTGAATTGACCTTCCAACCTCTCGTATGACAATCCATTTGGATCATTGTAGCACTTGACAGTACTGTGTATGCTGACCATAAGCATGCATGGAACTTGTTATGTACTCTACCTTAGAATTTATTAGTAAGATCAGGCTGATTTGCTCCCGATGTAGGGACCAAAAATATTATAGTCACACTTCCAATTTGATATATAGTAGATTTTTTGGTCTTCCAAAATTCATCATCTAACTGGTGTTTACTCGTTTATTAGTGCAAAAATAAATGGCATCATAGTATATCAGTTCGTTTATATGTGCAGGAGTAAAATGTTTGTTGCATATCTGCTCTCTTATCTATGTAGGAGTAAATGACATCGTCGCATATCTAATCATCTTGATCGATGAGGTTTAATCTCAGAATAAATGATGTTTTTTTTGTTTTGGTCTTAATGCTATTTTCAAATATGATGACTAAATTGGGATGGAGAGAGTAACAAATTTTTATTAAACTTGCTCTGTTCCTATAAGTATAATGTTTTGAACGTCGATACAGTCTATGACACATATGTTTCATCATTATTTTTTAAAACTATATATATGTATTTATTAAAAAGATACTATATGAACGAGATTTTCTTGATAAATCTAGCGATATGATTCTTACATTCTAAATCATGCTAATTTTGGCACCTATTAATTAATGATTTTAAATTTTAATTATTGCACATGTTTTAAGAATCAATTATTTTAAGAATGGATATTATTAATAAAAAAGAACGGGTCAAGTTCTACTAATTTAATTTAACAATTATATCTAATCTTATATAACCTTATACTACCATTTTGCAAGGTTTGGACTATGAGCATTGTCTTTAGGGTTTGTTGAAACCATGCCACCCTATATTTGTAAAATTTGAGATATATCACCCGTATCTCAATGACATGTAGGATCCACATGAGTCAATGACATGTGGGTCAGTGACCAGGTTCTTGTTCCAATTTCAACAACATATATGTGCTTAATAGTATCTTCGTTTTTTAATATATGACACGTTGATTTTTAACACATATTTGATTATTCTGGTCTTATTTAAAAAAATCACGCAATTATTATTTATTTTATTGTGAGTTGTTTTATCACTTACAAATATTTTAAGTATGATTTATATCTTATACATTTAAATTTTTTTTTAAATAAGATAAATGATTAAACGTGTGTTCAAAAGTAAATGATGTTATATATTAAAATATAGAGAGGGTAACCACTCCTATGTTGCACTGTACTCTATATTTTTTTCCTTGGCACAGTTTTCAACTAACAATAATACTTCAACTGTACCGTACAAGCCTTCCACAGCAAATACTAGTCAAGTACTGATCACTCCAAACACTATATGTCTCTGTTGAGAGAGAAGTGAGGAAATTTAGCGCAGTTAATGATACTCCCTCAATTCTAAAATATACTCCATCTGTTCTATATTAATTGACGTTTTGAACATAGTTGAGATTAAACTTTTATAACTTTGACTATCAATAACTTTAAAAATATTTAGTTTAAAGAAACTAGAAAAACATATATAGATTTGTCTTTCAAAACACTATAATAAAAGTAAACATGTATTTATTTATTGTATATATTATAATAGAAAAATAAGGTTAAAGGTATATCTTGTAGAGCTAGCGTATCATTGTCTAAAGCGTCAATTAAAACGAAACCGGAGGGAGTAAGGCACAATCACCCTTAACTAGCTATTATATAACAAAGAAAATTGGTTGTGCCTTATATTATAGAATGAATGGAGTAACATTTAAAAATTAAATAGTTTCTGGATACTAATGTAGTAGTTCATTTTCTACATTTTATAACTATTGAGCCTTACAATCTAGAGCGAGAATATAATATAGTACTAGATTATTTGATGGGGGCTAGTTGGAGATTCTTAAAAGTGGACACAGTTACTAGAAACTTCTTAAGAAGAGCCTATATTATATTTGAAACCTTCAACCAGTAATACGTTGTGTATATAGCATATGTTTAAACTAGACGTACAGTGAGTTTCTCCGTAGCAAAAGAAATTCTACCAAGCTAATAACTCAAAAATACAATTAGTATAAAGTTTTAATTGTTACTACCTCCGTCTCAAAATAAGTGCAGCCATAAGTTTCCGCGCTTAACTTTGATCGTCTGTCTTATTTAAATTTTTTTTATAATTACCATTTTTATTGTTATAAGATGATAAAATATGAATAGGACTTTACTCATGACTTATGTTTTAATTATTTTTAAAAAAATTTTCATATAAGAAGAATGGTCAAAATTGAACGTGGAAAACTATTGTTAGGAAGTACAGCTAGTAGCTTTTAGATCGAACAAACGGTCATCGCACCGGTCGAGCCAGTGAACTCATCACGTTGACCCGGTCGCCATGCACCCGCAAGCTCATCCACCTAGCCCAAGCCCAGCCCAGCCCAGCCCAAACCATCCATCCCCGGCCCACCCCGCCGCTGACGGCTGGCTCCCACTTCCGGAATATTCCGTCCATCGCCGTCACCCCACCTCCTCCCTCTCTATCCTCTTCTCCTCCATTTCCCTCTCCTCTCCCCTCTCTTCGCTGGTCAATCCCCCTCCTTCCTCGAATCTTCGCTTCCCCCCCCCCCCACCCTTCTCGCCGCGCCACCGCCTCTACAAATCCACTAAACCCCCTCCTCCGCCTCGCCGCCGCCATGGGCTCGTCGGCGGCCGACTCGTTCCCCGCTTGTGGAGATGATGCAATCCGAGACGTGTACGGCATCGGTGGTGGTGGGGAGGAGGACGATCCGTCCCTCTTCCTCTACCTCTCCGACCTCGCCCCCGTCTCCCCCTCCGCCTACCTCGACCTCCCCCCCTCGCCGCCGCCGCCGACGACGACGGCGACGACGATGGTGAAGGAGGGGGAGGAGGCGCCGGAGGACCTGGTGCTGCCGTTCATCTCGAGGATGCTGATGGAGGAGGACATCGACGACAAGTTCTTCTACGACTACCCCGACAACCCGGCGCTGCTCCAGGCGCAGCAGCCCTTCCTCGAGATCCTCTCCGATCCCTCCTCCAACTCCCGCTCCTCCAACTCCGACGACCCCCGCCTCTCCCCGACCTCCTCCTCCGACACCTCCGCCGCCATCAACTCCTACGACGCCGCCGCCACCGCCACCGCCGTTGCCGCCGCCGCGGTGCCCGTGCCGCAGTACGAGAGCATCGAGCTCGATCCCGCCGCGTTCTTCGCCGCGGCCAACTCCGACCTCATGAGCTCCGCCTTCCTCAAGGGGATGGAGGAGGCGAACAAGTTCCTCCCCACCGAGAACAAGCTCATCATCGACCTCGAGGCCTCGTCGGAGAATAATTACCTCAGGGGTCTCGAGGAGGCCAAGAGGTTCCTGCCCAGCGACGACAAGCTTCAGGTTGGATTCGCTGCGGCGGCGGCGCCTGTGGTGAGCGTGAAGAAGGAGGCGGTGGATGTGGTGGTGGCAACCGCCTCGGGCGGCGGCGGACGAGGGCGGAAGAACCCGTACGACGACGAGGAGCTGGAGCTGGAGGGAGGGAGGAGCAGCAAGCAGACCGCGGTTCAGGGGGACGATGTCGCGGCGCGCGCCATGTTCGACAAGGTGATGATGCCCTCCCATGAGAATTGCACCGAGATGATGGAGAAGCTGAGGATTGCCATGAAGGAGGAGGCGGCCAAGAACGAGGCCAGCGCCGGCGGGAAGGGTGGGAACGGGAAGGTGAAGGGAGGGCGGCGGGGCGGGAGGGACGTGGTGGACCTGCGCACGCTGCTCATCCACTGCGCGCAGGCCGTGGCCACCGACGACCGCCGGAGCGCCACCGAGCTGCTTAAGCAGATCAAGCAGCACGCGAAACCGACCGGCGACGCGACGCAGCGCCTTGCTCATTGCTTTGCTGAGGGCTTGCAGGCGCGGATCGCTGGCACGGGCAGCCTGGTGCACCAGTCGCTCGTGGCTAAGCGCACCTCAGCCGTGGACATCCTCCAAGCGTACCAGCTGTACATGGCTGCCATCTGCTTCAAGAAGGTGTCCTTCATTTTCTCCAATCAAACCATCTACAATGCTTCCTTGGGTAAGAAGAAGATACACATCGTTGATTACGGTATACAGTATGGGTTCCAGTGGCCGTGCTTCCTGCGGCGGATATCACAAAGGGAGGGTGGGCCACCGGAGGTAAGGATGACTGGCATTGACCTCCCCCAGCCTGGTTTCCGGCCAACTGAGCGTATTGAGGAGACAGGGCACCGGCTCAGTAAATACGCCCAGGAGTTTGGGGTGCCATTCAAGTACAATGCCATTGCAGCGGTTAAGATGGAGTCAGTCCGCAAAGAGGATCTGAACATTGATCCTGATGAGGTGCTCATTGTGAATTGCCAGTATCAATTTAAGAACTTGATGGATGAGAGTGTTGTGATCGACAGCCCAAGGGATATTGTGCTCAGCAACATCCGGAAGATGCAGCCTCATGTGTTCATCCATGCAATAGTGAATGGCTCATTCAGTGCACCATTCTTTGTGACACGGTTCCGGGAGGCTTTGTTCTTTTACTCGGCCTTGTTCGATGTTCTGGATGCAACTACCCCAAGGGAAAGCGAACAGCGGCTGCTGATTGAGCAAAACATCTTTGGACGAGCTGCTCTGAATGTCATTGCGTGTGAGGGCATAGATCGGGTGGAGCGCCCTGAGACATACAAGCAATGGCAGGTGCGGAATCAACGGGCTGGCTTCAAGCAACTGCCATTGAATCCAGAAATTGTTCAGGTAGTGCGGAACAAGGTCAAGGACTGCTACCACAAGGACTTCGTGATAGATATAGATCACCAATGGCTCTTGCAAGGATGGAAGGGACGAATACTCTATGCCATCTCAACATGGACGCCAAATGATGCTCTCTCTTATTTTTAGTTGTTTTTTTTTTTGGCATCGCGACAAATATAAGATCTAGGTATTTCAATAAGATGGCTAGTGGCAGTATGTCATGTATGAAGATCGATGGTGTTGGTGTTGGTTTGATGGACCCAATGACTTGAGGTATGCCTATCTAGAATTTGGAGTGCACTTGTGATTCCAATGGGTTGGTTCTTCTTCTGATTCAAACCAATTCATGCAATGCAGGCTATGAGGGAGAATTGGTAGCCCAAGTTGTTGAAGCCATAAGATAACCAAGCATGCATGTAGATATCCATGTTTTTATGTGATGTTAATTAGTTGCTTCTGTTGTCATGTTGCAGCTTAGTGCCACACTACCACTTAGAAAATAGACTTAGGTCCTGGTCCGGATGATGTTCGCTGCAGCGTCACCGGTTCTTGCGATCAATCCAGTCAGTTGATCCGGTTGTAATTGACACCAGTTACTCTGTTTTTACTAGGTGCTTACTGCACTGTGGCAGACAGTAACATTGTAATATGCTCAAAATGTTGAACTGGGTTTTGGCTAGTCTTGTGCTGTTGTCAACCTGAGAACTATCTTTTCGGCCAACTTATTTGGTCTATTCATGATCCATGTTGCAACAGAGGGTCAAACATTTTTGCCCATTGATGTGTGTGATATTGTTTTTTTAATTATTATTTGCATTGATGTGATATTGTGATTCCATACATTGACATACCTTGGCTGTGTTTAAACCTTAGTTCTTTTTCATCACATCAACATGTCATCACATCAAACTTATTTTGCTGTGGAGGCTAGAAATTCCCACATTAATCGAAGAAAAAGATAAAATCTACACCGCTAGATCGTGATAGTCCTAAATTATAACGGTTGATATTTAATAAGGCTACAAATAAGTTTTGGGAACTAACTTAAATGCAATAGGAAACTAAAAGGCTACATTGGACTGATCTGTCTACATATACTAGAAACATAAATTGATTAGGAGTAGGATTCTGACGTATAGGTGTTGGTCCTGTTGAAGCCTGTAATCGGATTAGGACTTGGCAATACATATTTGAATGCATATGGCGCTAGAGCCTGAAGTCTGTAATTAGAGTCATTTAAATTCACCATATATATACGGCCATGCATTGCTAGGAGAATAGGAACAACTAAACAGTACATACATATAGCATACCATATGCTGTATGCACAAGCCTAGCAGTAAAGGCCATATACATGTGGCTGCACTGGCTTACGATTAATTAGGCAGTATAAATGCAAAACGCCAGTGGTTAAAGGCATGTGCGTAATTCAATATATACTTAATTAATAATTTCATAAAAAATGAGTTGTCGCAGGAAAAAAAATTTTATGTCATAAGACCTTCACCTTCATAGCAGCTTCATCAGTCAGAAGTGCAATTTGATATATGTGTGCACTTTTGGGTAAAAGAAAAAAATAATTGTAATTCGATAAAAAGAATATTAAAAGAACAGTCTATCTGGAAAACAAGACAAGATTAATTAAAATTCGAAAATAATAAAATAAATTTCAACATTAGAAAAATAGTAGTAGTTTATGTAGGAATACAATTTAGAAATAGCTAAAATTCATAATTAAAAATAAGAAATGTTGCAAGAAGAGACCATCTTAAACGAAACATGAGATCAATTAATTGAAATTTGGAGTAAAAATAAAATAAATTCTGAAATTATAAAATAAAATTGAGAGTTTAGATAGGAATACAACTTATAAATAACCAAAATTTTCGAACGGAAATTCTCACATTAATATAAGAAAAAAAGAAGAGTTAGAGTTCTAGTTATATTATTAAAACAGCCTTGAAAGAAGGCACCACGTTCGCTGTGGAGGCTGGAAATTCCCACATTAATCGGAGAAAAAGAAAAAAAAGAAGAGTCCAAGTAGAAATACAATTTAAAATAACTGAAATTCGAAATTAAAAGTAAGAAATATTGAAAGAAATTTCCATATAGAAACCCAATACGACATTAATCAAAATTCAAAATAAAAATAAAATAAAATCCGAAATTACCAAAAAAAAGAGTCTAAGTAGAAATACAATTTAAAAATAGCTAAAATTCGGAATTAAAAATAAGAAATATCGAAAGAAGAGTCCATATAGTAACCCAATACGAGATTAATTAAAATTCAGAATAAAAATAAAATAAAATCTGAAATTAGCAAAAAAAAGATGAGTCCAAGTAGAAATACAATTTAAAAATAAATTAAATTCGGAATTAAAAATAAGGAATATTGAAAGAAGAATCCATACAAGAATCCAATACGAGATTAATTAAAATTCGGAATAAAAAAAATAAAAAATCAAAATTAGAAAAAAGAAACGAAAAGAAGAGTTCAAGTAGGAATATAATTTAAAATTAACTAAAAATCGGAATTAAATATAAGCAATATTGAAATAAGAGTGCATATAAGAACCCAATAGTAGATTAACTAAAATTCGAAATAAAAAAATAAAATATAATATGAAATTAGGCAAATTAAAAAGAGAGTTAAAATAGGAATATAATTTTAAAACAACTGAGTTGAAAATAAAAATAAAAATATCAAAAGAACACAATACGAAAAATAAAATAAATTCTGAAATGAGAAAAAGAAAAATAAGATATCAACTAGGAATACAATTTATAAATAACTAAAATTGGTGAGAAAAAAATAAAGATTACTAAAAGAAAAAACCATCTGAAACACATGACTTGATTAATTAAGTAGCAGGCCTATAGAGTAGCAGAGTGATGGCGGTTGAAGGGACATCTAAAAACTATTAATAAAACACCAAATAGAATCCTAATGATGATTAAAAGGAAGTAGAACAGACAGGTCGTGAAGCAATCGGTTAAAGCGGGTGGCAGGACTTCTAGAAAGTAAAAAAAAACCCAATGATAGTCATATTTGATTTTTAAAATCTTAATAATAAAAAAATGAAAGGTAACGGGCGGGTAGTATAGGAGTACAATGGCAAAGTTATGTTCAACTTTTACAATCCTAATGACAATAAAGAGTATGCGGCGGACAGGTCGTAGAGGAGTATGGTGGCAGCGTTTGACGGGATTTCTAAAAATTATAAAAAAATGAAACCCAATAAGATAATAAACTTTAAAAACTATAAGGTCCAATTTTTAAAGGTTAGGGCTTCTAAAAAGTAAAAAAATTAAACCCCAATGATAATCCTGTTTGATTTTAAAATCTCAATAACAATAAAGAAGGGCTGCAGCGGGTGAGCCGTAGAGGAGTACAGTGACAAAGTCGCTGACATTTTGGCGGAACTTCTAGAAAGTAAAAAAAATGAACCTAAATGATAATTATGTTTGATTTTTAAAATAGCAATGACAATAAAGAGAAGATGCAGTGGACGGTCGTAGATGAGTATAATGGCAGTGTTTGACGGGACTTCTAGAAATTATAAAAAAGTTGCCCAATAAGACAATAAACTCTAAACCTATAAGTTTTTAGATCCAATTTTTAAAAGTTTCAAGGAGAATGAATAGAAAACAGTGGTAGATCAAGTAAGCAAATAAAGAATAATATGACAGAAGTAAGGGGTATCTACCGTTGTGACTTTTAAAAACTAAAAAAAATAGAAACACGAGGATAATAAGGTTTAGTCTTTAAAAATCTTAAGACAACGAGATAACTATTTAATAAATTTGAAGTAAAATTATATTAAAAATATATAATTTTATATGGGTGCTAGCCGCGCAATTGCGCGGGCCACCCAACTAGTTTTAACCAAAATCCAAACTTTGCGCTGAACTAGACACAGCCCTTCTGTATTACTCATATGGCACCAGATTCTTGGAATGGTTCCAGCTGGACCTATATGCCAGAGTTGATGTGCACATCTGTTTCATGAAAAGATGTATAAAGAATGTGGATGTTACTAGTAGCTACTAGTATCTGCTATATGGCCAAATCAAGACTGTTCATTACAGATCATGTTTCCGGCCTACTGTCAACAACTGGGCAGTTAAGTATTTAACTATTTACCGCTTTTAGATGTGACGTTTAACAATTTGTTACTAATACGTTTATAACATGTGGGTCCTTGTGTCTATAATATGTTAAATATCTCGTCAGCAAAAGGCAGGCCATGTATGTGTTGTTTGCAATCCAGGAATGCAGGTGATTAAAACCTCTTGTTTCCCCACATTGATTGATGCTATTCCTGCATTGCCATCCCAATAATTCATCAAGATATGCTCCTTTTAGCCTCAATTAGCTGATTCTGTGACGATCCATGCTATAACTGCACCTAGGCATCCCAGCCTCATCTTTACATTACCTGTAAATGCAAAATGAATCTTCCTAGTAACTATCATGTATGTACATGCAGCACATACCAGAAGCTCTTGAAAGTTGCATAATAGGAGCATCTGGATTTGGAGTCTTTCGCAAAATACGGCGAAAATCTAAAGTTAAAACTGAATCAATCCTGCAAAAATGTCGACAAGATTAGGGGAATATTTTTCCATCACATGCTGTGATCCGGTGGATGCCTAGAGATAAGCCAAATGGAGATCAGGAAGACTGAAAAAACAGGAGAGCAACATGAGACATTCAGAGAACCTGGCACTGATCCTGGAGGATGACAGGTTCAGAAAAATGGTTTGACCACAAGAACATAGCTGAGCAACAGGCCAAGAAACCACTGAAAATGGATCGAATCTCGTGTGATCCAAAAATATTTGTATTCAGGTGAAAGGCGATCTTGTGTGATTTTGCCATGCTGGTGCTGCTGATTTGGGGGAATCAAAACGAATATGAAATTAAATCGCAGGATATTAGAGTAACCTGGACGCATCTGATGAGCTGACCCTGTCCTAAATCATCTTAAATATCTTTATCATTATGATATTTATTATCTCTTATTAAAATGGTTGACAGGGTGCAGTATTCTTGTATGCTAGTGCTTCTCTCTTGACAGACTTCTTGTGCTGCAAGAACACAACAATTATTTTCAATCCAGGAGTAGACCTACGACCGTTTTAGGCCGAAACAATTTTTTTAAGATATGGACATGTACAAATACGACAACATAAGACTATATATGTATTTTTTTCTAGCAGAGAAAAAAAAAGTTTATATAGACAGATTGTGACCCCATGACTGATATAACAAGCTTAAGCAAGCTCTCTGACTGTCAGACAGGATGATTAACCTCTGATTAAACTCTGATAAAGCTTTGTTTGCATAAGCAAAGATGATCCTAGCAGGCTAGCTAGCACAAATCCTCTCAAATCAATAGAAAATTTTATCTAGATTTTCTCACCGATTCGCCGCGTTTGCATGCACATGTCGAAGAGGTCATTGCTTACAGCAGCAAGAGTCGGCAGTCACTCACCACATGCACACACCGTTCACTTCCATGTGCACCGTTTATAGATGGCAATGGCCCGGTTCCCATTTCCCTGCGGTGAATTCTCCTATTAGGAGATAAAAATGGTTAGAATTAGTTTTTCCATTGAAAATTAAATGAGAGAAATTATGTACACGTCAGATTTTGCGGCGGCAGAGATAATCCTCAATTACCGGCCTCCGGGGTATCCGTCCCCCGCGGAGACCTGTATAAGGTCCAAATTTACAATTTTTTTACATCCTATGTGATTACTTTACTTGTGAT